CCAGCATAAAGAAAGCCGCAAAGAAAACCTGGAAAAGTTAATTCCTCGTCAAGTTACACCCCCCCAAAGTTGCAAAATTTGCCGGGTTGCCGCTTGACATGCCTATCTTTAGAGCTTTGTAATTCAGCCCGTTTTAAACAAAAGCTAATAATTTCTGATCCATCGTATTTATATTGTCCTGAATTTTTGAAAAAATGTTAAATAATTTAATTCTGATAAAAATCACAAAAGTATAATAAAAACAAAATTTTTAACAAACATAGAAAAAGAACGTGTCTTCAAATTTTTTAAAAAAAACATTTTGTATAGAATTTTTCTCTCTGCAACATATCAAAATTTAGAGATAGCGATTTTTCGGTATCGGAAGCTATAAGCCGAAATAGGATTTAAAACTGAAAAAAACCACTATTTTTACAGTAATCCCGTGTATTTTACAGTGGCGAAATCATTCGGAGCCGCTTCTGATGGACGCAGCTGGCAGCTACAAATATCCCGTATGCTTTAAACCCCGAAAACTCGCTATCAAAGTTGTACTTTACTTTGAGAATATTAACAAATTATTATTCTGCAGGGTTATAATAAGTAGTCTATACTCCAGCCCTTTCTAGTTCTCGTGTTTTATTTTGTGAAAACTATGTAGTTAGTATGCATCATTTTGGCGTCGCAAAGAAGTCTAAGAACTCACTGCTTTGCCTGGATAATTGCTAAATTTAGGTTCTTCTCAAAGCTTTCTGTGTTTTTATAAAACTGCAACACATAGTTGCAAAGAAGAACAAGCTGACTTGGCGAAAACTTTGACGAGTACAAGACAGAGACAATTCTTAGCACTGAGAAATCACGACGTACAAAAAGTAGAAAGGGCTAGAGTAAAGACTACCTCTTATAACTCTGCAGAATAATAATTTGTTAATATTATTAAAGTAAAGTACAACTTTGATAGCGAGTTTTCGGGGTTTAAAGCATACAGGATATTTATAGCTGCCAGCTGCGTCCTTCAGAAGCGGCTCCGAATGATTTCGCCACTGTAAAATACACGGGATTACTGTAAAAATAGTGGTTTTTTTCAGTTTTAAATCCTATTTCGGCTTATAGCTCCCGATATCGAAAAATCGCTATCTCTAAATTTTGATATGTTGCAGAGAAAAAAATTCTATACAAAATGCTTTTTTTAAAAAATTTGATGACACATTCTTTTTCTACGTTTGTTTAAAATTTTGTTTTTATTATACCTTTGTGATTTTTATCAGAATTAAATTATTTAGCATTTTTTCAAAAGTTCAGGACAATATAAATACGATGAATCAGAAATTATTAGATTTCGTTTACAACGGACTGAATTACTAAGCTCTAAAGATAGGCATGTCAAGCGGCAACCCGGCAAATTTTGCAACTTTGGGGGGGTGTAACTTGACGAGGAATTAACTTTTCCAGGTTTTCTTTGCGGCTTTCTTTATGCTGGTCTAAACTCTACTAATCAGCAAAAAATGAAAACATCTGAGAGGGTAATGTTCAAACGTGTGCAGTCTGGCGTGGAATGACCCATGTATATATTCTGAACACTTTCCAAAATCAAATCGTACTGGAACATTTACTTGGCAAACAACCAACCTCGTTCGACCGTTTACCCACTCCTCTCTCAAAACATCAAGCACACCTACAGAAAAGCAATGCGTAACATGAGTCGTTCCGCTACCCTGAACAGAGCAGCAGGAGCATAGTTAAAAGTTCTAGAGCTAAACGAAGCCACTTCCTTCAAATTTTCAGACCGCGGCAGAATCTATAACTTGTGGCACACATTACCGAAATAAAGCGCTTGCGACAAAAACTTCAATATCAGATTTTAAAGATTTCATCAGCAGAAAGCACCAAATCACGCAATACTTTTTCAAACAAAGCACACAAATGCACGTCTTACCAGTGACCAAGGCGCTAAATTCGACCATATTTAATACTGTTTGCTGCCTAAAACTCGGTGTAACTTGTAAAGTCAACCTCATTCACCAATTTTTCTTCTAAAAAGCCTCCAAAGGAGGAATAAACACAACAATAGAGCACTCAATCATTACAAATGCTTCCCAGCACTGGCATTTTAAAAATTTTGTACTTCAGAAATTCTGAAATGCCTCCAGAAAAGTAACACAAGGAGAAGAGAGAGGGAAATTCCAAAACGATCATACATAGCCAGAGACCACTAAAATCAGAAAGAACGAAAAACACACATGAACCAGTAAAACTTCATCAGTTTAAAAGATCGAATAGATAAACTCGAGCTTAGTAAAGTTTTGCCAAAAAAGCATTCAACATGAAAACCGTTTGGAGAAAATGCAATAAGAACACCAAAATAAATATAAAGAATTTTCAAAACAGCCTGAAAGCCAAAAACTTTTTCATAATATTAAGCATAAGAATACTATGTTTGCTCTGTGAGTAGAAGTTTACAGCTAAACTTTTAAGTCACAAAACAAAGTTCCGATAAACCACGAGATTTCACAGTACCGCACAAGAAATCTTAATTAATCAAAAAGAAAAAACAGATCAACATATACAAGGTAAACCAGAAAAAAACACATTTGCACTAAAACTGAATTCAGTTTCGCACGAATTGAGATTTGTAACTATTGCGTCTCAACATGTGGAAGAAGGTATCCTCCAAAATCCAAAATATTTTGACATATACATGAGCAGTTTCGCAGAAAATCGAAAACAATGCATCGTTTGAAAAATAAATAAACATAAGCACCATTATGAATAAAAACTCCCAAAAATTCAAAGACCATTACACTTAATAACTCCCAAACACCGCAAGCTGTTAATGGCTTGCAGGTAAAGAAGCTTTGGAACCAAATTCCTTCTGACAGAGATGACAACTCCACTCGCCTTCAGGAGCTTTCGACAAACGCGGTTTGAGACAATATAAATGAAAACCTCGATCACAGTCGTCACAAAACAGCAACTGGTCCTGAAAGGAAAAACTGTTTACGCAGGAAACACAACAAAAGGGTTACTCTGTTGAAAAAAAACATCCAACAAATTATATATCAAACGTGAGTGAAAGTGAAAAGTATCAGGCCTTCGTGCAATTTCAATAAATGAAAAATTTGGAAATTTTTTCTAAAGTATGAAAAAAACTCACATCATTATCTGAAAACCCACATATGGCACAACTTTTGCATTCAAGGCACTGCCATCCATATTTTTTAATTGATATAATCATATTTTCTTTAAAACCAAGACAAGTGGGATGTCCTGTAAAAATTTTAAGGATGTACCAAAAGAATCAGTAAGAACCCATTAGTGTCTGTTAGCTAAATAAAAGTTGAAATCAAACCTGATCTCCCACAGTCATGACAACTAACCAACTGCTCAGGTTTTGCTGTTTTTTTATTCTCGTTGCAATCACCCAAACAAATGTCACAAAAAGTAGAAACTTCAATGTTAGGCGACATTACTATAATAAAAGATCTGTTACTCTAATTACTCTAAAATAGTCAGTCCCATCTAAAATGATAACAGTACATATTCAAATTGAAAAAACCAGAGATAATCGTTTATAACCTTACAAGGATGTTGCGGCGTCCCTTTTGGGCTCTGTGCACTTGGATGAACGTTTGCACAATGGTAATTTAAACCAGCTCGGCTTTTATATCTAGCAGCGCAAACTGAAATTTTTTAAACTGCAATAATGAACTTTTTGGAATTTTTGCAGAATTAATTAGAAAACGCCATCAACACTACTATCAAATAAAACAAATGACGTTTAAGACACTTAAAACAAAATTAAATCTTTTCCTGAATTATCTGAAAAACCCTACGTTGGCAACCAAAAGGTTTTGGATCGGCAGGCTGAGCAGTCGATGAGGTACAATGTGCATTCATGGAAGCAGAAGAATTGGCAGATGTGTTCGAAGAGGATGTTGCTGCCGGCCGACGACCACGACGAGGACCTTCAGCTGCATTTTTTCGCCTTCTTTTCCTTTTTCCATCCGACCAGTCATCTTCATCAGAAGCTTCTACCATTTCCTCTTCGCTGGGATCCTCTACTTCATTGTCAAAATTACCTTCCTACAAGAAATGAAGATAAAGAGAATTTAAAGAATCATTCATACGACACGAATACTTACATATGCAACTTTGCTGCTCCTTTTTTCTGATTGTGAATTATCACACTGAGGTTGTACAGAATCCACTGACATGGGAAATTCTACAAAGAACAAGGTCATCCTTTATTTAGACCGTTATTACTATAGAGTATTTCGTGTGTTTAACAACAATAACAATACAAGTTATCTAAATACACGGTCACGAAGGCTGTTACAATGAATTTCTAAACGACACCTGTCGAAGGCGCAGAAGCAGCTTGATTTAAAACATCATTAATAGCTGGATTGCAGTGAACAATATATTTCATCTCTATTGCGTCGGAGGACGGATTTGAGCCTTTTTTCCGTCTCCATCGTTTGCTAACATACGTACAATACTAAAAGAATTGAAAAGATAATAAAGAGATATTTATTACATGATTAAAAGACGAAAAAGTACCTCAAAACACACAAAAAGTTAACAAACTAAAATAATGATAACAGAGCCAAAAAAAAGGATGGGCTGAAAAATCTGTAAAAATCTAACCTGCGTAGGGGTTGCAGCAGGATATCTGTCAGCAACAGTTCGTATTGCGATCTGTGAGGGTCTCTGTGCTGTGCCTGTTTGTGCGTCAATAATTGGATACCGTTTTCTACGTTCTTCTTCATTTCGGCTGTTCCAATTCGAGCAGTTCTTCATCATTTGGAAGTAAACATCTTCGGTAACCATACTTGAAAAAATCAACGAACCTTCACGGTCCTGTGCCCAATCTATGTACTTAATGCATTTAGTCTAACCAGAAAAAAGATGACAATCCAACTGCCTTAATTTTACTCACCTAGAAATATACCCAATAAGAAATTAAATTCATGCTTTGTCTAAGAAAGTTATTAGGTGGTTATGATGTGGGGAGACGGAAAACAGAAGTTATCGAAGTCATCTGAAAAGCTATTAGCGACGGTCAAAATGCAGTAATCATCCATCCAAATGACGAACGCCGATGAAAATCCGCTTCGCAAAGCAAAATGTCATTGAAATTTAATAAGAAGATAATTAGAAATAACTTCCTTATGTTACAGAACTATACTTGATCTAACCAAGCAAAACTTACAGGGAGTACACTACCGAAGATGCAAACGAAAAAAAAACACTTACCTCAACGCCCACAGTTACCGGAGCTGTTAATCAAGCAAGCAATTGGCATTTGAAACCATTTGATCCGCACAGTAATTGCATCAGTGACATTGCCAAAATGTCAATTGTTGCAGCTAAATAGCGAGCACGAATTTCCGTTCAAAACCAGGAAAAAATCTTGTTGGGCCAGGTGGCATTTCTGCTTTTATCAGTGAATGATTTTTAAAGATTGCGGTTATAAAGTGATTTTTACGATCTAGTTCGTTCTTTGTTAGCCTTTTTTGGATTCACTAGTTTTACTTTTGTAACATCTGACCGTTCGGTCATGACGAAAAATATTTGCAATTCAGTTTATCAGGAATATTTTATCTGGTATTAACCCAGATTTAATGCTTTACGACAGTTTTCAACTTTTCAACCGTTTTTTTAATATCACGTTTAATTCCTGGCGACAAATTAAGTTGGCTCTATTTAAATGTTTTTGACGACCATGTCTTACTCGACTTGATTATCAAGTCTTGACATCATCTTCTGTTTAAAAGAAACTCAAGTAGAACTGACTTTTTTTAAGGACATAAGGATTTTTTTAGCGGGTAAATGGCTAAAGGAACTTTGCGAACTCTTTGGTTCTCACCAAACAAGCAAGAAACCATACTCAAAATGCTGGTTTTGTGCCTAGCATGCATCGTTGCTTTTTCAAGGTAAACCTGCTTTTTAATAGAAACGTTGTTTTTGTATTGGACAAAATTTGTATATCATTAAAGTGATCCATTGTTGTTTTCTTATTAAAGTAACTTTTAAACTCCTTATCTTTCAGTCGCTTGTTTGCCGTGGTTCGATTTGAGTCGCTGATTCATGAGGTTTAGCTTTTTCATGAATTATCACCAATCAGTTGTAGAACGTTTATAGCATTGTCTGCAAATCAGACTTAATTAAGCACTGACTTTTAGCAGATGCACATGAATGTACCTCAGCTTTCAGTTTGACCCCTATTTCAACTACCGTACAACTCGGTTCTTGGCTGAAGAAGGGTACTATAAATTTCACAATTGGTTTGACGACCGGGCTTGGTATCCTTTGGGCAGAATTATTGGTGGGACTATTTATCCTGGTATGTCGATGATGTTTTGGGTGTCATTTTTGCCTTCCTGCATACTTTTCTTTTGTTCTTAATATTGATTGATTGTTGAAAGGTTTATTTTTAACTTTCAAGTTTTTGATTTTCTTTTGTTTTCTAGGTTTGATGGTTACTAGTGCTCTGATTTATCGTATTCTTCATTTTTTCCATTTTACACTGCACATACGAGAAGTCTGTGTTTTCCTAGCTCCTCTTTTTAGTTCGTTTACTGTGATCATTACATATTTGCTAACGAAAGAGTTAAAGGTGAAGTTTTTTCATTGCTTATTTGCAAATAAGTCATTTAACTCATTTTTACGTTTTAAGATATATAAAAATTTTTAGAGTGATGGGGCAGGCTTAGTCGCTGCTTCTTTGATTGCTATTGTTCCTGGTTATATATCTCGCTCGGTAGCTGGTTCTTACGATAATGAGGGCATCGCTATATTTTGCATGTTATTTACGTATTACTTATGGATCAAAGTACTGTCCTGTTTTCTTTAAAATTCCGCTTCAGAACATTTTGGTTATGAAGTGGCGTAGGCAGATCTGGAATATGCCCCGCTACACTAGATGCTTCTAATGTTTCAGTATTGTAAAAGTAGAAACCGATATTACAAATGCCTGGTGGAGTTAGCACTTCTGAAAGGGTTTTCGCTTTAGAGTAATGGGAAGTTTCTGAACAGTGAATAACTCGTAACGATCCGGTTCATTAGAGTAGGGCTAGGGCTTGAGGAAGGCGGTTGGTATTTAGCAGAATCGCTACAGTATTAAATAAATTTTATGCTTTGTTACTTTGATACTGCATTATTCTATATGCTGTAAAACCTCTGCTCATAAGATATAAATTAATTTTTTTTAAGCAGTGTATGCTTTTTTTTTGATGACTCAAGTTTTTGTTCAGTAGCACGTAATTTCATAGTGAACTGGAAGCTACATAGCATATTTCATACAAATTTTTTAGTTGTTCTTCTCATTGGATTTTCATAAGTAGTCATATTCTTTTGAAAAGTGAAATAACATGTTAGTTGCTGCAACACATTTACAATTTTTTGCAAAAAACTATCTTGCTGAATGCCGAAGGTGCATATATTTACAGTTATTTATTTCCGAATAATACCCTTATACAGTGGAACAGCGGAAGAAATCTTTCTGTTGTAAGTAAAGCACCTACGTGGGAATCAAAGGTCCGAGTTTCTCCTAGAAACAAATTTTCAAGAAATTTTTAGGTATTAACTTTGATAAGAGGAGTAATTTTGGCATTGGTTTTTAGCGAGTTATGAAAATAGTGACCTTAAAAGGGAACAGGAGGCGCTTAAGGAAATTTTGCTTTCCTGGATGGGACATTTAGGGGAATAAAAGCTCTGGTGAGAAGGTATGGAGACGGGTGAGGAAGAAGAGGAAACCTTACTTTTTGCATTGGTACGTGTGTCTTTTAGGCTGTCAAGACTGGAGTGCTATATTGGTCTGTTCTTTGTTCTTTGGCGTATTTCTACATGGTTTCATCTTGGGGTGGATATGTCTTTCTCATCAATCTTATACCACTTCATGTCCTCGCACTTATTTGTACTGGTCGTTTCTCGCACAAAATTTACGTGGCGTATTCAACAGTTGGTCTTTATGATATTGATAATCTTGAAAGTTATTGTCTTGTTTCACGGTATGGTGGAAATTAATTTTAATTTTTAATCTACTTTCAGGTCTACATTGTCGGAACTATTTTATCCATGCAAATTCCCTTCGTAGGTTTTCAGCCAGTGCAAACTTCTGAACATATGGCGGTATTATTTTAGTCACTTTTGATTGATTTTCATGAGGAATTGCTACCTTTTTGCTTTCTGCAGATTCAGCTTAATTTTTAAGTTTCTATTTGCCTCAAAGCCAGATTATTCTGATTGTTTTAATGGATGCTATTTAATTAAACCGTTGATTAGATCTGACTCTGGTCAGTAATTTTCTGCTAAAAGACAGAAAAAATATCAATTTTTTCATAACATGTTATTCAGTGCCATAGTAAAACTCTTTATTTATCACTTTTATGGTTCAGAAGTGTGACTTTCAAGCGTGAATCGAGCTTTTAGTAGTTTTGAAAATGGGTTCAGGCAAGAGTTCTGCTAAATTTATATAGCTTTTCTGGAGTTCAGTACCAATGCACGAATTAATCTGATGTTGTTGTATTTGGCCAATTTTAGCAAGGAGTCTTTTTAGGCCTTTGGCGTTTTTGGACTCTGCCAGTTAGTGGCATTCTCAAAATGGCTACGTTCAAAACTGTCGGAGGAGAACTATCGGCTACTGTTCCATTCTGTTGTGGTGGCAGTTGCATCTGTCTTTGCTTTCGCCATTATATTAGCTACACTTTTGGGAAGTAGGGTATTTTATCCTGATCAAAAATTAGATTTGAAAACGTCGTTTTTATAGTTTTACTCAGTGATCTTATCACATTGCTCTTCTCCTTCACTTATTTCCTCGGCAGCTCTAATGGTAAGTACCAGATTTGATTCATTCAGAAATTGCCCCCTGGACTGGTAGGTTTTATTCCCTCCTGGATCCTTCTTACGCAAAGAATAATATTCCTATTATCGCATCCGTTTCGGAGCACCAACCAACTGCCTGGAGTTCCTTCTACTTTGACCTTCAGTTTCTTGTATTCACTTTTCCGGGTAAGCTTCAAATTCCTTGAGTTTTTGGCCTGATGTGGAAATATCGTTTTTTGTTACAGATGAACATAAACAGAGCTTGAAGTTGTTGCTGTATTTTTTTTCATTTCAGCTGGTCTGTATTTTTGCTTCAAAGAATTGAATGACCATAACATTTTTATAATTCTGTATGGCCTGACAAGCATTTACTTTGCGGTAAGATCTAATTTTTAACATTTTCCTCCTAAAAAATTTTCTCTGAAGAGTAACTTCTAACTGTAGAAAAGTTCAATCCACGTGAAAGCCCTGATTCGAGGGGTTCTTTAAATTTTCAATCGCAAACTGATCTAATTATGTTGCTCATGGTAGGAATAGTCCTTCAAATAGCACGTTTTTAGGGGGTCATGGTCCGATTGATGTTGGTATTAGCCCCCGTAATGTGCATTTTGGCTGGCATTGCGATATCTTCTACACTGAGTAGTTATATGAAAAACCTGGACGGTGTTGCGCAGCATCAGGTGAAACACGACAAGAAGGAGCGGGAACGAAATTACCCTTATAAAAATGAAGTGAGCTTTGAAAATCAATCAGATTTCCCGTTTTCTCGCTTTATTTCTCAACTTTACCAATATTTTTTTGATTAGCTTTTTTTTTTCAAGCAATGTTTTAAGACACCGTTATTCAAAAAAAAAACCACTATTAGGTTGCGACAACGGTTGTAGCGCTTGTTAGCATGTCGCTTTTCTTATATGTCTTTCACTGCACATGGGTGACGTCAGAAGCTTACAGCAGTCCTTCAATTGTACTTTCTGCTCACTCAGGTGATGGGAGTAGTATTATATTTGATGACTTCCGAGAGGCGTATTACTGGTTGCGTCAAAACACTCCTTCGGTAATTATTGTGCATGCGTAAAAGAGTTATTTCATGTTGTAATAACAATAGATGACGTTCTGGTTTAGGACGCGAAGATAATGTCTTGGTGGGATTATGGTTATCAGATCACAGCGATTGCTAATCGTACAGTCATAGTTGACAACAACACCTGGAACAATACACATATTTCGCGAGTAGGACAGGTAAAACTTTAACATTTTTGAACCTAAATAGCAGAACTTAGTTTGAGTTTTGTTTCATCTTTTTAGGCTATGTCTTCTAAAGAAGAGGACGCCTACGAAATAATGAAAGAATTGGATGTCGACTACGTTTTAGTTATATTTGGTGGCGTTACTGGATACTCATCAGATGGTTAAACAACTTTTATTTAGTTTGGCTTTACTCATTTTTTTAGAAATAACAATTTTTGTTTCGAGCTATTCCGTTCTTTTGAAGCTGTTTTATTCGTCTATTTTCATAGATATTAATAAATTTTTGTGGATGGTAAGGATTGGTGGTTCGACTCCTGAGGGATCTCATATTCACGAAAGTGATTATTTCACGAAGTCTGGAGAATTTAGAGTGGACAAAGAAGGCTCACCAACGATGTTAAACTGTTTGATGTACAAACTTTGCTACTATCGTTTTGGAGGACTATACACACAACAAGTAAGTTTTTCAAAAGAATTTTTCTATTGTTTACTGATATATTTTGTTGAGGGCCGCGCTACTGGCTTTGACAGGGTTCGACACGCTGAGATAGGAAATAAAGATTTTGAACTGGACTATTTGGATGAAGCATTTACTTCAGAGCACTGGATTGTTCGGATCTATAAGGTTATTATTCATCATCCCCTTGCAGGACGTTTTTCTTTTTCCGACATTTTTTAACTTCTGGTTGTTTTAGGTGAAGTCAGTGGACAATAGAGGTCATAAGTAGCATGCTATCTGCTCGCTTTCGACAGTTTTGCCGGGAATTATTTGTTTTAATAGGCTTTTTCCACTGTCTAAAAACTAACATTTCTGGAGCTGTTAATTTCTTTAGAAATGGTTGCTTATTATGGGAGGTGTTTGTGACGGGAAGTGCCTTGAAGTCTCTTAGTTTGAGCAGGGCTGTTGTCTAGTCCCATTGGTTATGCATTAGAAAATTCAACTTTTATGGAATGTTCTACGTTGAACTTAAAGTGAGAGAATTTTAGCATTATATTGTCAACCGGTTGTCTTTTATTCCCAAGTGGCAGTCTATTACACCATTGTTTATGTTCTCATCTGCGTTTATTGTGGGAATTTATGTTTCTAGAACTTCGCTTTTGTTTCCTTTAATTTATTTTCTTTGCTCAAACTGTAAGTATGGTTGTTAGTTGTTGTTAAAACCTTGTTTTTGCTTTTGAAACCGCAGATTTCACACCCTCAGAAATTTTTCAATTCATTATTGTTTATCGCCTCGTTGTGGAAGTGGACGAATATTGCAGTGCTACTGAAGCAAAAATGTGTCTTGAGTTACACGGCCAGTCTTTTGTATGGAGTTGCGAAGGAAAATTTCGTTGAGAGTTTAAGAAGAGGTTTCTTTAAACTGAAAACGGGACGGGATGCGAACAGCTATCACGTTTGCAGCTTCATGGAGATCGGACGTTCTATATGCACTTGATTTTTCAGTATTATTTATTCTGAAAACCCGAATGGTTTCGGAGTTACATAAGAACAGTATCTAATTTGCTAGTGATACAGATAGGCAGAAAAATGGAGTGATATGGTGAGAATTGCTGCTTTGCAACATGTGGATATTAAAAAAACTACCAGTGGAACTTAATGAGAATGCTCTTGTTAGCAACACCTAGCTCTAAAATGCTCTAAAACACGTTAATCCAGCAGAGCTTTACTTCAGAGCAACTTGTCATGTGTATGGCAGCAGTCGCCCGTCGTTATAACATTTGTGAGGAACAATTCAGTTCTGGCATTTTACCAGTGTTAACGTATCTATACATTTAGAAGAGGTGTTTTTGCGATCAAACAACAGCAAATTAACAGTATAAAGTAGGCAAGGAAACAATCAGCGAGAAGCAAGACCGAGGCCGGTCTGGCATTCAAGCCGTTTCACGAGAAATTCATGACGTCTTATAAATTGAAATATTGAAACTCTTGAGCTCGACGACTGCCATTTGAATTGCGATGGAAGAATGAGAAAAAAATGAAATGCAGAAAGTGGTGCAGAGGAATGGTGAGGAACAAGGGAGACGTGTCCATCTTGGCTAGGAGGTGCAGAGCAAGTATTATAGTTGCATGTGCGGGTCGTCTCCAAAGGCTGCAACTATCTAATGACATTGTAATAGCCTTGTGGCTTTTAACACGAAGAGTGAGTCTGACGCACCTTGAAACTCTGCATGCAGAAAATAAGTTAAATTTTCTTTAAAAAAGTCTAGGCCTTGTGCTGATCACCGTAAATTATAGCGGCGAATAAAACCAAAGGAGGGATGTGACCAATAACGTGACTATGCGAAGTCAACTGTCCGTTTATAACTGCATTCCCTTCTTGTGTGCACGAAAGAATTTCTGTAACCAGCAACAAATTCACGCCATATCAATTTTCAAACAAAGCAGTAAATAAATCCTGCTGGAAAACCAAAGAAGCTCCCGACACAACGTCTAAACTCCCTTGGAAAATCCTAATCCCAGAACAGGTAATACGAACTTATCAGTAAAAAAAAAGTCAGAAAATGTCAATTGGCTGTTACACTGTTTTCAAACAAACAGCCACTCCTCGGGCTTTTTATTTTTGTACTTCTTTCACAATTAGTCCATTTCTCGGTACAGCAACTACGAACAACTAAAAAATACCGGGATAGAAATACACAGTAGTTTGCTCATATCCACAATCAGAAGATCAGACGTAAATCTTATTATTACACAACCCAAGGGGCCAGTTTAACCTTATCAATTAAAAAAGAATCGGACTTATGTTACACATGAACGTGTTCAAATATGAAGTCTAAAAATTCGGAATGAAACTTGCACGCGCATTTGGGCGCTGTAAAGACTGCAAACATAGCCTGGTGACAGGTATTTTAGAAATATGTCAAACTGCAACCTGATGCCAGCAAACTACCAAGAGATATAAGCATATTATTTACACGAAATCAACAGAAAAACCTAAAA